ATATACATATACATACACACATACACACACACACACACACACACACACACATATATATATATATATAAACATATGTATGTATATACCTACACACACACATACACACACACACACACACGCACACAAATATATAGATATAGATATATATCCAATAACAAACATCTATCGATACGTCTGTGGAATTTCAACTAGCTGAAATATATGTCATTCCAAAATACTTGATACCTATGTTATTTTGTATTTCTTCAACGTCATCAAAGCGAAATAGAGATTCGATACAGCAATAGGGTTGTGTGCGGTCCGCGGAATACACGGATTCCTCCTAATATTCTGACAATCTTCTAGTGACCTTTGCTATGGACTACTTGGCATCACTTGATGCATCCATGTACTACGATCAAGTGCACTGTCCTACGCGGGCTTTGGTTTGTTTATTTGAAACACCCAAGACTAGAAGGCACTCAAGAGTACAAGAGGTACAAACGAACATGAAAAAAAATCACAGTAATGTTCATAAAGGTAAAAAAAGGGTCCCAGATATGTCGTAGTTTTAAGTGTACAACGAATTACCTGAGGACGCCGGCACACAGTACGTGTGCTTCTCGGTTTGGAAAACTGCTGTCTCGGTCGACATTGTGTTGTGCTAAGCGGCTATAAGCAGAGCATATGTCTACGTCTGAAGGGTTAGCTATCTTATTCGCTTATACCTAGCCTTTCCTGAGTTTCCTATTACTTCGGAGTCTATTTGTCGTTTTTGTTGTTTGCTATCTAGTTAGATTGAGGTTCCACCTATAGATACACTGAATACACATACGCTCACACACTGCTACAGTGCTCGTGTGTGCAGATGTATTGGACCGTGTTCTCACTGTTTGTGCCGGACTACTGTTGCATACTTGAATGGGTAACTGGGCGACTGGCGAACGAGCATTAGCTTGTCAGTTGTCACACGTAACCGTGGAAGTCGTAAGTGACCACTCGTACATCAATATGTCGTGCGTGTATGATTCGTTTGCGCGTGCGTCGTTCTCGCGTCAGTGGTGAATGACACGTCCCGAATCGTGATAGCCGCCTTATACATAGCCTTCTAAATTAAACACTTATATCTTATGTATGTATATGTATTTATTATTATTTATTTAGGTTGGAAAGTATGTGTATTTAATTATGGTCTGCTGTTATTGTTGTTGGTGTCAAATTAGGAAATTTCACATTTGGCGCGAACCGCACACTCTGAAGTGTTGTGATTTTGTGAACTTCACAGTGATCACACTGTTTACAGATGATGTCAACGATGAACGTCACATGATGCATGCATGATGTAAATACAAATATATAAATGGCAACGCAAATACAACGAGGAAGTGCATTCGGAGGCGTGTGCTGTGTAAACTGAGGTGGAGTGCGACAAGCATATATATGCGTACAAATCCATATATATGCGTACAAATCCATTATCGCACATGCTTGTGGTTTTTAAAGATTTCGTTTGTACACCGTTAGTTCTTCGGAAATAGCCTGGCATGCGAGCAGACGTCCTTAGAATGGTAGTTGGTGTTGAGGATATGAAAGCGTACACACAGATGAAGCAGATAGTTTCAGATACTTGCATACTCAATAGCGGCGGGCACGAGATACGAAAACATATGTTTTCCAACCACATATGATGTTAGAAAACGGAGGGATTGCGATAAAGATTGAGTCATTCACTTTAGTATAATTCTTCGCAAATACACAACTCTGTGTGACTATTTGAAGGGACGCAGACATATCCGCCAAAAAATACGACTGTGCATACTGTAGTTGCAATAGTGTATAATTAAAGGGGGTTTGGCATTTCAGAGCAGTGGAGTGACCACATACCAAGTGCAGATTATCATATTCCAAGAGATCAAAGCGGTTTATGCATATTACAGTGCCATTGTACAGCCGATGTCACGGTCGGGAAATACTTATGTGATATTAAGCCCCTAAACGTATCAGGACCTAGGAAAACCATAGGGACAGTCTTGTGACAAAATATTATTATAATACACACCTATACACATCTATACAAAGACACGTACTTTTTAAACAACTCGAATATTTCAAGTGTACAATAATGTACAGCCGGGGCAGGAAAGCCGTGACATACGCAGTAGCCAGATACTTCTTGGCATCCTGGCTGCTGACCTACGCGAATCAGTACTTCTTTGGCGATGAACACGATCTGGATAGCTTTGCACTGTTCATGACATGGTTTCAGGTGTGTCGTTGGTATCGTCCGAATTACTACCCTCTATTGTCTTGCCCGCTGCAGTCCTTCGACATGTTGTCGTGTCATTGTTCAATAACAATATGTTGGAATGCTGTGGTTCTTTTCACCCGATTGTTCTACTGGGCCAAACGGGTGGAATTTCTTGAGTGAGTTAAGTAGGTTGCATTGTTGGAGTATGCTCAAACTGTACACACATATACATAACAAGTTGTCGGGGTTTACACGCGAAACCCAGTCGATTTCGTTCGAACTTGAAACTTTGTTTATATACACTTTCTCAGACGCGATATTCACCAACTGTGTTCCAATGCTGCAGTGTGCGGCTAGCATGAGTGTCTTCTACTTCGCCCCCTTTCTTAACATGGGGCCTGCCTTCAAACTGGACCCGACCGTATCGCGTGAGATACTACCGCTGTCGACCGTCTTCATATTCATGCTGCTGACAAATGTCTATGCCATCCACCATGGCGAGGATACCTTCTATCCCGTCGCACGGTCTTTGACGGTGATTCTGACGGTGTTTCTGTCGTACGCCACCCTCGGCCATGTGACATCGGCTGTGAGAATGGTTAGCGTTGGCATCATGGTGTGGGGTTATCTGCTGGCAGATACACAGGTGAGTCATCGATGCCCACTGATAGTCTAGATGCATATCAGCAAGTCATGAGTGTTCATGTGACCGGTTTATGTGCAACAACAAACGCACCATCGTACAGCATTGATCTCGGAATTGATAAGGCTCTGCTACTTTTTGTCACGACTTTGTATTGTGGACCCTATCACATGGCGTGCCTGACCCTGATTGCACGCCTAGTAGTATTGACATTGTACCCTTCGTTTAAACGAACGTCAGTATTAACATTGACATTGTACCCTTCA